CCGAAGGACTATGATTTATGAAACTTTCATGACATTTGGGGATAAAAGGGTTATATGTTAGTTGTTGGACTTGTAATCATACCGCTAATTCATTTGAGTTTCCAGCGTTGGAATAAAATCATCAGCGCTTATGATTAGATCTCTAGAACTGAACTTTATATCTCCAGCGTTGAGATTTAAATCTTCAGTGCTGGTGTTTACATCTATAGCGCAATACTCTACATCTTGAGTGCTGGACTTTACATTTGCAGCGCTATACATTACATCTTCCGCGCTGGAGACCATCTGTATAGCCAGATGTTATTTATATCTTCAGCTCTTGAGTGTACATCTCTAGCGCTTGACGTAATATCTTCAGCGCTAGACGTAGAAATCATAAGCCTTTATCTGTATCAGACTAACAGGGCTGTGTTTCTTTAATTGAAATATTTTATGTTTTTTTTATCTGATTATCTATCTGTCCTGACACTTGTACAACAGCTTTATATCAAAATTAAGAGATAATTACAAAAGCAAATATTTACAATGACAATGAACACTGTTGCAATACATCAATATGATAAAAAAAAATCCTCGCTAATTGAAGTAAACAATGTTTTGTCTTGTTATCCATGAACAATTTCTACTTGTTGAAGTGAGATAATCTTATAATATGCATGCATTTATTAAACTGAAACACGTTTATATACAGGAGGAGAACGTATTACACTTCAGCTGTTGAAAGCGTTTGTTTTCATAAAGCATGATGAGAATTCACAATTAATGTTTCTATTTAAATTTATTTTACCAATAGACTAATTGGTTTTGAATGTCTCTTATTTGTTCTTTGGTTCACTAAACGTACAGTCAATGTACATTGAACGTCATAAATGATAAAAGAAAAGTTTTGCTTGATGATTTTGTGTAAACATAAATGTATAAATATTCAGTGTCCAACAGCATGTATAACCAATAAAACATACAAGAAGTTATTCTTGTCTTAGTTTTTTTTTTTTTTTCTCAATTAACATGGTCCTTTTGAGTTTTCTTTGAAATAATTTAAATATTTTTGAATTACAATAAAACACATGCACACGGAAAATTGCCACTACGTTGTGTGCTTGTACCAAGTCATACTATCTAGATCATGTGTTTCTCGTTGTTGTTTGTATTTGTTTGTATGTTCTGGGTGTCGGGTGTTTATTGACAAGACAAGACAATATTTTATTTAAGTCTCACCTCTTCATTATATAAAACATACAAATAGTTAATAAAACAACATCATAAAACATACAAGAGCCACTATAAAAGAGTTATGAGAGACTATCTAAAATGTATATACATTATTTACACTAAAATTAGCTATATAAAATACATTTTCTTTTTAATAAAATTTCATTGCAGATTTTGGCAGTATAAAAGTACATATTTTCATCTGTGAATAACATATTTCTTCATAATGGATTGGGAACAATAAATCCAAAGGTGTTTAATCACTTGACTTTATTAACTTAAAATAAAAATTGATGAAGTTGTTAAACCATGAAAAAGGTTTTACTGTATACAAATAGCAACGGAAAAAATAACTGGGAAACTAATTGAAAAGAAAAAGAATATGTCCTGCATGAGACCAAAACCCAATGAAATACTATTGGAATAATAAAGTATGGGACATTGCTTTCATTGCTGTTCTTTATCTCGGCAGTGCTCGAATGTCACTTAAGCATCTCAATCTTCATCGATTTGAAAGGAAAGAAATTACGATTAGTCAATATTTTACATTTAATCTGGTGTAACGTTATATACAACTTTGTAATTCAAAACCCGACTAAGACTACAAGTAAACAATCAATATTATGTCATCAACATGATATTTCAAGGAAAAGGTGACAAGGAAAATCCTGAAAGAAAACAGGTGAATAATTTCAAATCACTCGTCATAATTATATTAAGTGAAGTATTGTGAAGTTCAGACAAAAACCCCAAAATATCGTTTTTGTTTGAAAAAAGATTATATTAACTGCTTGATAAAGGATTAAGGTGTTGATAATTTTCTTGAAACCCCAACATATACTCACACGAAACCTACAAAAGATGAAATCCTGAATAATCATACGCCTGTCTAATATTTTTCACTTTCAACCAGATATGAAGAAGTAGATCTTTCGTCACTCTACTGGATACCCATATTACATAAGTGTCATTAAAACAATGTTATATTGCTAGTTCTGCCAAAGCATTACGAAACCTCTTTCCAAATTATTAACAGGTATTGAACAGCGATCAAAACTGGATTTCAGAGTTACTGTAAAACAACCTACTCTAGTGGTGGTAGGAATCAGATATGAATGCTAAAAAAATCAAAAGATATTTTAGTATTCTTTCAATATAAGTTCCCTCTCGTAATGCATAAGTATGAGAATGAAAAACAGTTTACTTTTCTACTCTTTACACTTGTATCCTCATTCTAAACTTAAAGAAAGATTGAAGGATTAATTCAACTTTGCTTCATAAAACAGAATGGCAAACACAGATTCAAATATCTTGTTTTGGGTTGAGACAAATCATATTTTGTAAAGAACCACCCTGATTCGAGTTCACTGGAAAAAAGGAATCATTAAAAGGCTGGATTTTGTTTTATTGGCAACATATTTTTAGCGTTTGGAGGACGAGTTTTTCAATAGAAAATAGGCTTTCCTGAACAACTGTGTCCCTCTTTTTGCAGAATTGTTCCTTTCTTCTTATAAGACAGACTTCATATAGAAGCTTCTCACGAAAAATGAAAAGAAGCTGGCAATATCCTTTAACTTAATTGGTGATTTCCTTTCATTATATAATCCAAAAATAATTTTCATTTCTCATAAAACTATTTAAAAAAATCAATATCAATATAACGCAATGAAAATAGAGGTTAGTTTTGTAGTACATAATTTATTTTGCAGAATTTTTTGGTTTCTACATTGCGATAAAATTCAAAAGTCTTCATAATCTTTTTTTATTGCTGATAAAATGGTATTATGGACTCCGATCAATTCTATCTGTATGATTTGTGATTGATTGATTGATTGTTGGTGTTTAATGTCCTTTTCAGAACAATTCTTTGTTATTTTTGGCATTCAGTTTCTATTGGTACAGGAAACCTGTGTGCTTAGAGAGAACCACATACCTTCGGCAGGAAAACCGACTATCCTAGTCCGTTAAGATTGGAATCTAACGCACATGCCACGTGCGGGGTTCATACTCCCGACCTCTGTGTTGACAGGCTAGTAAAACAATAGATGATCTTTTTAGAACACTTGGCCACCTAGGTCCCCTGGATGAATTGTGAAGTACACAACTTTCCATATAAAAATAAGTGGACATGGTATGATTCCCCTATGTAAATACCCTCTTATTTTTGTGTTTGTTTTATCTACTTGAAATTGAATGTGTCGGATTTTGTTATTGTCGGCCGTTATGACGAAAGGAATCTACTATAGACTTTAAGATATAATTCCCGTACACTTTAAAAGCGGTCTTTTTCTCAAAAATAGGTACAAACACATGAAGTAATATATTGCAAATATAATACTTCCATGGTTAAACCAATCACCCCACATAGTAAAACAGTTTGGGCTCCTCTTGCATCCCTATTGGATTTCAATGAAACAAGAGACATATAGTACTATCTGATGAAACGTATCAAAACGTGTTGATAATCAGATTATTATATTCGTTATCAGAACGCGTTTGTCATTATTTACTGTTTATTCAAAATTTTTCTCTTTCCTCTAGGTTGTAACATAGTATTTAACTTCAAAATATTACGATGATTATAGTGTTACAATAACCAAAACATAGAAAACCCTACCCAATGTGCTTCATTAAATGTAATAATAACCAATACAAAGAACATCAAACTACTGCGCTAAATTTTATGTGACTATAACCAAAACATAGAACATCAAATCGCTTTGATAAAAACGATAACATAGAACATCAAATCGCTTTGATAATAACCAAAATATAGAACATCAATCCAATGTGCTTTATTTTATGTCATAATAACCAAAACATAGAACATCAAATCACTTTATTTAATGTTTTACCAAAACATAGAGCATCAATCAACTGTGCTTCATTTTATGTGATAATAATCAAAACATAGAACATCCAACAACTGTGCTACGTTTCATGTGATGATAACAAAAAATAGAACTTCAAACCACAGTGCTACATTTCATATGACAATATCCCGAAACAATGAACATCAAATAACTGTGCTACATTTAATGTGACAATAATCAAAACATAGAACATCATACTACTATGCTTCGTTTTATACGACAATAACCAAAACTTATAACATCAATCACTGTGCATCATTTTATGTGACAATAACCGAAATAAGAACGTCATACCACTCTGGTTTTTTTTTTACAATAACCAAAACATCAAACATCAAACCAATGTGCTACATTCTATTCAATTTTGATCAAAACATAAAACATCAAATTATTGTTATAATGACCAAAATATATAACAACAAACTCCCGTGCTACATTTCGTGTGGCAATAGCCAAAATGTTGATCATTTAACCACTGTCACTTTGCTACATTTTTTGTGACAATAACCAAAACATAAAACATAAAATGTAACACTGTGGTTGGATATTCTATATTTTGGTAAAAGAGGGACGAAAGATACCAAAGGGACATTCAAACTCATAAGTCGGAAATAAACTGACAACGTCATGGCTGAAAAAGAAAAAGACAAATAGACAAACAATAGTACACAAAACACAACATCGAAAACTAAAGACTGAGCAACACGAACCCCACCAAAAACTGTGGGTGATCTCAGGTGCTCCGGAAGGGTAAGCAGATCCTGCTCCACATGTGGCACCCGTCGTGTTGCTCATGTTAATACAAACCCGATAATAAGTCTAATTCGGTAATTATCACATAAAATGTAGCACAGTTATCTGACGTTCTTTATTTTGGTTATTGTCACACACAATAATTCACAGTGATTGATGTTATAAGTTTTGGTATATTTGTGCTTCATTTTATGTGCCAATAACCGACTTATAACATTAACCACTATGTATTATTGTGTGTGACTATAACAACAATAAAGAACATCAATCTAGTGTGCTACATTTTATGTAATAATGACCCAAAATAGAACTTCAGACAAATATGCTACATTTTATGTGACAATTCCCAAAACATAGAACATCCAACCAGAGTGCTACATTTTATGTGACAATTACCAAAACATAGAACATCCAACCAAAGTGCTACATTTTATGTGACAATTACCAAAACATAGAACATCCAACCACAGTGCTACATTTTATGTGACAATTACAAAAACATAGAACATCCAACCACAGTGCTACATATTATGTGACAATAACCAAAACTTATGACCACTGTGTATTTTTGTATGTGACAATAACCAAAACATAGAGCATGCAACTACCGTGCTATATTTTATGTGACAATAATTAAAACATAGAACATCAATCAACTGTGCTTCATTTCATGTGATAATGAATAAATGGTGAATGTGTCCATGTGACACAGATGATGACCCCGCTTGCATATAACCTTATCAATTCAAACTTGATCTGTGTTTTGTGATAATTAGCGTTGTGTATAAGTTTCACCATATTTGGTTGAGGCAAACTAAAGTTAGAGAACGGAAACCAATTTCGGGACGAGCTATCAAGACATATAGACCTGTGCTACATTTTCAGGTGATATTCCTACAATAACCTTAACATAGAATATCATACAATTCTGTTACATTTTCAGAAACTGGTATCCCTACAATAAAAAAATATAGAACATCATAAATTGTTTTTTATTTCCAGAATATCAATATGATATCCCATTGGTGGTCTTGGGCTGTTTTCTCCCATTAGGTCGGGTTGTTGTCTTTCTGTCACATTCCCCGTTTTTTTCTCAATTCTATTAATAACCTATTAATTTTCAGAATATGATATCCATACCATAAACAAAACAAAGTACACAATAAAACTGCCAGAAAATGATATCCTTACAATTGAGTACAAACACGCAGAACTAAGAATTCCTTGATTAATTATGATTATGATTTTGATCGTGCCACTTTTAAGATTAGTGGATTTGGAGCTGTTTTGTCGTGAACCATTGTTAACACGGTATTTATTTTAAGTATCCACCCATATACATCCGGATTTAATAATGGTCAACTTCAACTTGTCTGAAATTGAATTAAACATTCATAATCTTGGTATATAAATTCACATGAAACATAACAATTTGAAGTAAATTGTATTTAGAAAGCAAACAAAATTATGAGCCAATAGAATCAACCTATAGATTTCAAGTACACTGCCATAATATTACGATTGAATGTGTCTTATTGGAGTTTTATGAAATAATTGAACTTAGAAGCAAGAATCTTAATGACGCTTCAAAGAAACTGTTCTAGATTAAAACACGCACTGAAGATGGAAAACGAGCATAAAGATGTCGATTAGAGTCTGTCCTTTGGAATTTATTATTGTAAAATCGACTACACAAATCATTAACAGTTTGTTCTGAAGCAATCGGATTTACGTCTGCTAATCATCAAATTACAACCGAAGGCATATAATATGACAAGAACCGTGTATACATGACAGGTACATAATATATAAATACACTTTTAGCAGATGTTTTAGTTAAACGGAAAAAATCGTTCCATATAAAATTTTGTTTCCTGACATTTTGTTTTTTTGAAATTCGGAATGGACCTTTAAAATGCCAAATCGTAGTTTTTGGATAGAAGCAAAAGAGTCGTTGGAGCAAAATGCAAAAACAACGCCTATATCGTCTAGAATACTAGGAATTGGTGTAATTATTGTGGCCTTTATAGTGCTTTCTATTGGACTTATTGTGGGACTAAAATTCCCGGGATTCGTAGAGGATAGAATAAAAGAAGACCATTGTGTTGTTAGCGAAGAATATTCACATTATAATCAATGGGTAAGGAAACTTAATTTTAAAGAAAATGTCTTTGATAGTGACTGTTATATTTTTGCATTTTCATTTTATTATTGAAGTTTGATTAATTGACAGGTTACAGATAAATGTTGTCTTTTAGTATTCCCTCCAAGAATAAAATAGAAAGGAAAATAAGAAAAACACAAATAAACAATTACTATAATGAATTGACTACTAAGTAGATGGTAATGCAAGTATGATTTGTGGATTTTAATAAAAAAAAATATCTTTTGAAATAACAGATTTTTCATTTCTTATAGGAATTTGATGAACAATGGATTCGGTATGAAACATTATATTTTTGGAATATTACAAATCAACAAAATGTTTTAATGAGTGGTGCTGTTCCTCATGTAAGTAGTTATATATATTTTAAATTAATACATGTTTAATAACGGACATAGTTTATTGCTTGTTTATTTCATTAAATGTAATATCATGCTTTATCCTTAAATAATGTAAATTTCTGAAAGACTCACATTCTGAATTATTGAATGCTATAATTTTGCATTAACCATCATATCATGGAATGATAAACCTACCTTTAATACGTATACAAAAATATTTCAGTACATTTGGAGATAGCTGTTCTATTGTTCTTTGTATGTTGATAAGAGGAGATGCCGGGTATACGAAAATGAGAAGGTTTATCAACTATATAAGAACTATAATGTTGATTTGTTCTAATTTGATTTTTTAAACTACAGGATTTTTATCTAAGTCACACTTCACCCTTTCTATGTGGCTATACACTCAAACAGCACCTGAAGATAGAGTATATATTTCCGAAGTGAAACGATACTCTAGGGCTTACTTTTCTTATCATAATTTCCTTGAGATTGAGGAAATAAACTCTTTTTAAGGAAGCTATCGAACAAAGGGTCCTTACTTGTAATGATGAAGTTTTCTCTTTTGCAGTTTAAATTTGTCAACTAATATATTCATCTTGCCCTGGCCATAATCCCGTTCATTGTTTATGTATTCTACGTATAAAAGTACCTACTTATAGAGTGTGTTAGAATACAAATGATATAAAAATACAACGGTTAGATAAGTACCCAATACTTGATTGCATTAAACTATTCATACATCTATAAAACTGTTTCTATCTTCATTTAAAAATATACTTAAAAAAATCACCAGCATTTACGATACTCCGAATGAAACCATTGTGTTTACAATGTTGTTATGGGCTATAGTGTATTGACAAAAAAAACAAAAACAAAAATACCGAACTCCAAGGCAAATTCAAAATAGGGAAGTCCATAAAAGCTGACAAATCAAACGCTGTCAATCAACAGAACAAGTGAAAAACAACTGCCAAATGATATAAAGTCGACAGTTTCTACCAGTCATGGTTTATGGAGAATTTTATACTATGAATCGAAACTTATTAAACATCTAAACTTTCACACGTCCTTATAAATTATTGTTTTGTTCATATTATATTATTTATCGAAGTCACGTTGCGAATGTAAGTAACTAATCTTCGTCTTCTGTTCTATATTAATTTTTTGGCAGAATATCAGAAATCCGCGACATCAAACTAACAACCTGAGGAGTCAAATAAAACAATTAACCCTGTTCTTACGGATTATGATCAAGGACATGCGGCCTCATCAAGCATGGTTAATAATTTCATTGTAGTTCTTGGTTTTATGTTATGTTTTATGACATGTTTTTTTAATTTCTTTTGATTAGTAATTGGCGCAAGATAAATAAATCTTACATAAAAAGCCCTTTTCAATTAAACAAAAACAATATATCTAAGATAAAAGGAAAATTTTAAGAAGGGAATAGATATTGACACATCGAGCTTTAATCATGTCTTAGTCGCCGCCAAATAACAGGTGTTGTTTTGTGTTGGTTTTGTTTTACAAAAATAAGACGGTACATGTCACTTCTAATTATCTTATTAATTTCGTTTGGATCTTTATTAAAAATTAGATTAAAACGAGGAATGCAAGTTCCTCCTTTCAATGTTTCCAATAATAAGCAACAGTAATTCCAATGTATATCAAACAGTACCATTAATTGTTACCACCAGAATACAAGTTTCTTCTATTTAGCTCATGGAAAAACATAAATTTTTAATTAGTAGAATAGATATAAAATCATACAATTGTAATTGCACTTTTTATTTTAACTATACAGCATTCAGGTTTTTTTCATTTCATTGCTTATCGTAAATATGGTCAGTTCGTTGGATAGTCTAAATAAACAAATGAATGAAATTTGAATGGACCATAGTAATACTTTTTTACTCTTAATGTTTTAGCTGGAAAAATGTGGTCCTTACATCTATAAAAAGACGGCAAGAAAAGTGAATGTTGTTTTCAGGGACGGATATGTTTCTTTCAAATACTTAATATCATTTAACTTTGATGAAGATAAAACGCAGCAGGAATGTGGCGTAAACTGTAAAAGTGGTGACGAGGTGAGTTTGTATCAAAATTCACCACACTTTAGTGGTCGTATACAAACCTTAATAAATTTGTAAAATAAAGTTTAGCAGTTTTGATATGTATGACCAACTCATGGAGAAATTCACATCATCCATTTAATGATACACAAGTGTCTCATAACCCAAAGTGATCCCGAAATAAGAGAAATCCCCATAGATGCATCTTACCATGTATTGCAATAAAGTGTAAGAGAAATGTTTATCGTCACTCTTATCATTAAAATTAAACGATTCTAGTTATAGAGAGAAAATGAATGTCAAATTTTGAGGGAATTCTTAAAATATTGTTTTGCAAAATTTATCTAATCTATGAATACCCGGGGGCTGTTTTTTTTTAAATATTAATAAAACAAGAAGGAGTGATTGTATTGTGATACTTATTTTTATTTCGTTGGATTTTATGAAGTCATTAAGAAAAAGATAGAGACTCATGTGGCATACTGTATTATTGAAATGAGAGAGATAAACATGAAATACAATCCTGCAGATAAACTCTCAATGAACCCATGCACTATTTCAAATCAACGAACGGAGTGCCTAATTAGCAGAATGACGTTGATATGCGATCATTTTGTGTCTGAAAATCAATTTCAAGAAAGCAAAATTATGTTTATGAGGTTGGTAACAAGAAATGAATCTCTGTACATAAGGTTGGTAAGAAGTGTATATGTACTTGTATCATCTTCATTGACACCGATTGAAATCAGTTGAAAATCTATTCATGTAGTCCACTTAATTAGTAAATAATTGATGATATATAAAAGCTTAAGTTGTACGGATATGGTTTAAAATGTCGCTTATAGTCCCGTGTGATCATTTACAAATTGTAGCTTAGTCCCTTGTGACCATCGTACCCGTAAACAGTTGCTTTGTGTAAGTGGTTTCTGATTATGAATCTTCGCAATTGCTTACAACAATTATCTCTATATATATATTGCCTAAGGGGGTATGGGGTATCTGTCAATGCGATAGTAACTCAAAGGCACACATAACCAAAAGTCATCTCTATAGCCTTTAAGACTAGATGTCAATACAATATGTCAAGCGAGTCTAAAAATACCAATATATACGAAAATAAAGAGATGAGGTATGATTGCAAATGAGACAACTATCCACCAAAGTTCAAATAAAGTGGATGTATAGGCAACCGTACGGCCTTCAACAGTGAGAAAACCCCATACTGTACAGTCGGCTATAAAAGGCCTCGACATGAAAAATATGAAACAATTCAATTGAGAAAACTAACGGCATAATTTATGAAATAAAAACGATAAACAAATATGACATGAAAACAAACTATAAAAATCAGTTGAAAAGGCTTAACTCATCAGATCAATACAAAGCAGAAGAACATCAAACATAAACACAGACCTGGCGTGGCAGGGTATTTATCCATCCCTCATCCCTAACAATAAATAGATTGTTTATATAAAAATGTTATTTCTGAATTGAAATTGGAAACCCATATCACAAAAATATCGTTCTATACCAATATTAATTCCTTGCATGGCTATGCGCAAGATTCAAATTTACTGGAAATATACAAATTTCTTTAAAGTTTGATTCAACGTTTGACAGGTCAAGCTATTTCATTCGCTTGAACCTAGGAATAGTATACTACTTGATATATCAATAGGTTATGTCCCAGCTTAAACATCGTTATATAATTACTTATTGGGCCTTATTTGGACGCAATTTCTTAATATTTGTTGCAAGTTTTTGGCAATAACGAAATCTTGATATTATACTATCATACACATGTAACTATTAAAGACATTTCAGTAAAAGAAATACTCGTTTCAATGAACTAATTAGGTAGAATACTCGATAGTCAAATTTTTATAATTCAAAATATAAAGAATACGATTGAACAATTGCAGTAAATAATTCACTCTTAAATGATTTTTACATCAATTGTGTTTTTTAGATAATAATGCTCGACACAGATAAAATAGAAGAAATTGGAACGTTTAAAAGCTCTGAGGATTATCTCTTAGGAAACATTCCGGAATGGATCAATTCGAAAATAGCAGAACTAAGTGTACTTCAAACAAATATTTCTGAGAATGTGTTTTCTTTGCTAGGATTGTTAAACAACACTGCAAATACAGAAAATATTGTGGATCATTTAGTTCAAAACATTTCCTTTGGTCGCTGGATAGGTATAAATAATAATGAACAGAAAATTGTGATTAATAACATCAGAAACTTTACTGATTTTTCTGGGACTGAAATGTCACGCTTGTATAACGCTCTCTCCTCAGCGGAAGTGATGGGTTTACCTTTGAAACAAGAAACAACTGAAACTTGCAGAACTTTTATCAACACACATACTTGTTCGCGACATCTCATAATTTACAACAGTTCCACACCGGGGCTTCTGTATCCATCTATTGAGGATAATGATTTAAAATATTCTAATTTTAGAAACATTTGTGGACTACTTCTCTTCATACAAAGCATTAATGAATCTAATATTAACTGTTTTCTAAGTGTAACAGAATGGGTAAGCGAGTTGTTTTGTTTTGCGAATGATACATATTGTAAGTCACTTATGTTGGATAATGTTTATATCTCAAACTTTCTACTGACTCTAAAAGATTTCGTTTTTTCTTCTTTGTTTGATAATGTCAACAACTGGAGTGCCACAGAGCATCGAAACAACCTGTTTAAATTTTCAAGTATAAAACAGTTGGTGATTGGGTACGACTCTTCTTCCGGTTATGTTTATGGTGAACTGACCAAAAATATGACTCGAGAAGTTAGCCAGAGTTTTGGTTTGTCTGTCAAGTTGTCAACATGCATACTAGACAGACACTCGGGCAATAATATGATGCTATACAGTAAGTTTATAATGAAAGGCAACAGTGCATTATAAATAAACTATATTAACTTCCCATTGGTTCTATCGTATTCAACTTCTGACATGATTTTTGAAAAAAACTTTTCAATAGTTTGAGAACCAGGTAACACTAGAAACGTTTTGGTCCATTAGAAAAGTTTCATAAATAATAGTCAGTCATTCCACACACATATCGAAATCTAAGATTGTAATGTTTCAGATAAATGCATGTCTTAATGCTTCCCATTATTTTGAGTAGTTATATTTTCTTTTGAGTCATGTCAAGCTTGTGCTTTTTCAGAAATGATCTTTTATACCTGAATTGGTGTAGGTACCTTCCAAAAATTGTACAACTCCTAAGACACTATCCAACAAATATAATAGTAAAGTTTAATGCACAAATAATATTAATAAACAAATACATTTCATGTGAAATGTCTTTTCTTTCTCGAGTTTTCCCACTTATTTGTCAATATTTTAAAAAGACATTATACTCGTTAGGCAACATTAAAAACCAGAATCTTGCACTCTTGTTGTGACCATTATTATTTCATCAAACAATTCAGTTTTTCGTTCTGTTCTCAGACAACTTCTAAAATGTGGTTTAAGTAAGTATTTGTTCTTACAAAAGGTAAAACAAGTTTTTTTGGTTTTTTTTTCCCTTTTTTTAGAAAGCTTCAACAACAGGAATGATTTGTATCGGTCATCAGTTATTTGCTTCTTGGTTTTGTTTTTAAAGTTTGGATAAGGTTAAGGTTGGTACAAAGGACAACTTCAAAAGGGGGTGGAAGTGGCTTTAGATAAATTTTAATGCTTTTCAAATAATTTTATTTCAGGACAAAGTCCTCACTGCAAAAATATTTTGCTTAACCTAAAAAAGAAACAAAAGACAATGCACAACTGTGTACAACAGTGTGAAAATTGGATTTTATATTCCAGATTATCAGGATTCCGATATTTCCACAGCGAGTCAACACAGCATATATACCACGTATTTCATTCAACCATTGGAAGATTTGAAGACATGTAGAAGTCAAAGGCCTGCAGTAAACTCTTTCCTTCATTTTAGCGAAGAGTTTGCTTGCGCAGTATATTTTAAACAAAAAGGGATAACGGAATATTCAGGAATTGATTTATTCAAATATATATCAGGTAAGGAAAATATACACTTGCAAACTTTTTTAAATGTTGAATACTAGTAGAAATACACACTACATAAAAGTTAACACTTTATTGAGGTAAAAAAATCTTTAAAAATGTAAGCACGTGAATAAAAAACTACGACGCAAGGTAAATAGAAATTCCAATATCCATATCTACTTTAATTATTCATCCCTTATTTTATTGATTTTGTATTTGCATTGTATCATAGATCAAATTTATTCGTTCAGTGTATGTTCACTTGTGTTAATATGTCTTTTGATTGAGTTAAGCCATTTCAATTGATATTTTATAGTGTGTCTTTCTATGATGTGATGTTACACTATTTTTCAGATAGGGTGACGGTTTGGTACCATTACAACGTTTAAACCCGATGCAATTGTTTTGCACCTGTCCTAAGTCAAGAATCTGATGTTTAGTAGTTGTCGTTTGTTGATGTGGTTCATAAGTGTTTCTCGTTTCTCGTTTTTTGTATAGAATTGACCGTTGGTTTTCCCGTTTGAATGGTTTTACACTAGTAATTTTTGAGGCCCTTTATAGCTTGCTGTTCGGTGTGAGTCAAGGCTCCGTGTTGAAGACCGTACTTTGACCTATAATGGTTTACTTTTATAAATTGTGACTTGGATGGAGAGTTGTCTGATTGACACTCATACCACATCTTCTTATATCTACTAAAAATATGTTGTTTTATAAAACACAAAAAAATGCATTCATCTAGAAAATTAAAAATGGGTAATGAAAAAGTTACTGTTTGAAAACTTCTTTTTCACCCTTTTCCCAAAATATTTTTGGAGTTTTTTCCGTGGCTTCTACCATTTTTCTTTTCTTCTTTTTGGTTGGACGCTATATTTTTTACTGTAACTTAATGCTAAAAGTTGAAACCCTATCTTTGCATTCAGAATACAATTTTACCAAAGCAGAAGGGACGTTAAGGCCCGTTTATGGAAATAGAAATTAAGGATTTTGAGAACGTCTTCAATATTTCTAATAATATATATTACTTTATCATATCGTCATAATTACGTGATACAAAAAGCCAAATTCAACTAAGGCCAACTTTTGCCTGTGGGAGTTGCAACCTTAGTTTCTTAATAGTTTATTTATCAACGGGGAATATATCGGAGAAAACTGATAGTGCATTATTAATTCAGGCATGTCTTACATTTATAGACAGAAGCCATGTTAATATAATTTAACACACACACTGCTACTTCTGCTGCCTTGTTAGATTTTTGGTCCAGAATCTGTTTAATTGTTCTTACTAATTGCTCACACTTGTTTGATGTTACAAATTGTAATTTCGGAAGACTCGTTTATCGACTTTCAAAGACAAGATGGCAATAACGATGTATGTAAATAAATGAACATATAAACCATCGTAATAAGATAGTTCACGATTTCCATCAAATTAAAGTGTTTTCTTATATTTGAAATATCGATTTCTAGAAAGTCGACACAGTTCTCTTTAGCAGAAAAATAAAACAAAACAAACTGTCGTTGTTGATAATGCAAGCATCAGGATACCATTAAAATATTGAAAAAAATGTTTGTAGATTTTAGATCCTTCCACCCCCAATGTCCTAATATGATTTTTAGTAGGAATATGGAAATAGTACAAATATGCAAAAACATATAGTAGAACGATATAAAAATAACCTAAAATGTTTCGTTACTTTAGTGTTTGTGTCGAATACGGAATCCGCTTCCATTGTACATGTAGAATAGGGATATTTTTCAAATTGTTTTCTCAGGCAATGATGAAAAGGGGGCCAAAAATTGAAGATTGTTAATTTCAAGATGGAAAGAAAATTAGTTTATACATCTTGACTGTACTTCGTTTCGAAAATGCTTTAAATGAAATTTTAAATAGATTGCCTTAGCCTTGGCACAGCTTGTTTAGGAGGTTCGGTTTTATTGCTATTCAACTTAGTATTTGATTGGTTTTTCAAGTGTTTTGGTTCGAATGCCACTGATGAGTTTTATGTAGATACAAAATAAAAGCCTGGTATCTTTTGGTGCGTTTTAAAGTGGACATTTTGATAAGCTCTTCCATTTTGTTATTTATTTTGCTTTCCAACTGTTTTGATATTAGCGCCATTGAAGAGCCTTGTGTAGATAAAACATGTCTCTGGCGTACTTATAATAAAATTGAGAATGGAAATGGGGAATGTGTCAAAGAGACAACAACCCGACCATAGAGCAGACAACAGCCGAAGGCCACCAATGGGTCTTCAATGCAGCGAGAAACTCCCGCACCCGGAGTTATAAGCATGGTATCTTTGATGACTGATGTTATGAATTGTTTTATTAGTAATTTAACATAATCATGATAGTTCTAGCGCGTTTTTTTTCAATGTAACGAAGCAAATATGTGACCAGTTTCACATTTTACTGCATCTTTCCTATGAAGAAAAGGTATCTTCGTTTTTCCTCCAGTTTCAAATATGTTACATACAGTATTTCAACAAAAACCGAATTCGGTCAGGAGCACATTTCTGTTGGTGTAAGATGTTATTAAGAATTAGTAATCTAATTTGATATAATGATCATTGCACGACTCAAGTTTTAATAGTTTTTTGCAGATGTATCAAGATGTCCATCAAACACAAATGTTCCGTGTTGTACTTTTATTGAGTCATTTGTAAGTACTTTTTTTTGTATATATTTGGGAAATATACATTATCAATTTCAATACCTGTTTACGAAACTAATAGTATTCATGAATGAGTATAGACCGTCTGTATGTTAACTTGAATAGACTGTTTGACGGGTACCACAAGTAGAGGTGGAACTCCATATCCTGCTTGTTTGTTCGTGTTTTGTTTTCTTTGGCAGTTCCCGTCATTCTTCGTTTTATGGTTGTTTAATTGCCCCCTTTGTATCTTCTTATCTTTTGCTAATACCTGAATTAAAATATAAGTCAACATGTATTAATTTCTCAAACATTGCAAGCATTGTCCCTGGCTTTACGTTGTATTAGTTATTGTAAACTTATCCAACATTCTCACGAGCATATTTTTATCTAAAGAATTTGTATGTGTATTTTGATATCCCTGTCTAATTAAAAAGTTTTGAATCTATGACATTGACATATTGTTGTATTTCAGATTGACATAGAACCTCTTTCGGGGAAAATTTGGAGAAAGACTCTGTGCAAGCAACAGAAAATCTCTTTTTTTAAGTATGGAGATGTTACTGATAATGTATATCGACTGAATATTTCAACATATTCATTTTCAACGTTTTTAAGGGAATCAAGAATAGAAATTTCAAGTTCTGATGTTGGAAAATTTAAAACACGCGTAAGTTAATTATCTTATTTTAAGACTCTTATCTTAACTCCATAAAAAGAGAAAACATTGATTTTGATGCCTAGATTCTGAATCATAAGAATGGTATTGACACTTATAAAAAGTTGTGATAACAAAATAAAATAAAATAATATTATTTTGTTCAGAAAAATTAGTAGATTATGTAACTATTATTTACAAATATATTTCAATGTTCTTCCGCTTTTTGAACTCATACTTTGCTTTATTGTAAAAGAAGATCAAATAAGCATGTAAAATTCCGCTGTCTGAGGCCTTCTGAAAAAAAGACATCATACAAAAGTCAGCTTATGTGTAAACATTCAGTTATTGTAAAGTATTTTTTTGAAATATCACATGATCAACACTTAATGACCCGGTCTGATTAAAATGGATACGTCTTTTTTTGTATTTGGGTAAACAAACAAAAAACTAGTGCTGGAAGAAGGAAAATCAACACCAGTTCAGGAAATAAAGCTAGGAACCTCATGTTTCAAATCTACATAAATTATATGCCAGAGACTACTCAAAACTCAAAGACGCGTACGACATCATCCTATCTATGCCATAATGGAGCATCAGATATCCAGTTACTGCATGTAGATCTTCGTGCGCTTGAGGAATCGGACAACAGATTGCAAATGAATTTTAACTTAAGTACATGCATAGTAATAAGAGAAACACCATGTAAGTTCAAGACCATGAACGTCATACCTACTAACTATATGTATCTGCTTCTTTGTCACATACTAATTTAGCTGACTTCAACAACTACCTGGGAGTCACAATAACCAACAACATGTCCTGGGACAAACATGTTAGCAACGAATCTGTCAAAGGAAACAGAACACTTGACTGTATTAGAAGAAATCCGAAAGACTGCACCAAGACCGTCAAAGAGAAATCTTAAACAAAAAAAGTAATACCTATCATTGGTTACTCAGTATGCTGTCACTGCATTGAAGTAAAATCAATATCCTAAGTAATTTGCAAAGAAAAGCGACTTTGTTTTGCCACCAACAACTATACAGACAGAACACCTGGGTGCGTGACTAACACGATAACAACACTAAGTTGGCAAAGTCAGAACAAAGAAGATAGAAAAGTAGACTGTACGAAATGTAACACACGCTTATAGATATCGATCCTTGTACTAGTCAGCACATCTGGGAAACACTTTCATTGGAGCGACAAATACCTGTACTGACCACATAATAAGGCTATATTGCATAATGTTAAAAATAACAAAATATTGAAAACTCTAGATATTATTCTTTGTGAATACAACGTTCCCATTGGTGTCTCCATTCTTTTCCCCCATTTTTACTCTCATGTCATTTGAGCGTTTGCCGTGTAACGTCATTCGATGCTACTTTACTTAATTGATGTGTTTGATTATGAATATCACAGAGCTGCCATGTTTATTTTAGGCAATGTTTAAATCATATTACTAATTAACGGCAATAACGGGTTACCTGTTTGGTGACTAGCATCAAGATTTAAGGAAATGATCATGTAGTCACGCCATACAGACAATTTGCTATTTCATTTATAACAGATCACAAAAACCACATACCGGTATATGAATATAAAAAGCTATATTTTTTAATATGAACTGTAGTAGGAACTTTATTAAAAGTATAAGATAACTTTACACACACGAATAAAATAAATTTACAAACTTTTATTTTCATTTCCAGATCGAACAAATGCTTGACGCCTCATGTGTTGGTATGATAAGTTTAACTGTGATAGCTTCGGGTGTTTTTATTCTTGCTGTATGTATATTGTGTTGGCCTCAAGCAAAGACAAAGGTCCATCCGTTCATTTTAGAACAAAGTCATAATTTAGCTCATTCAAGATTATAGAGATGTTTAACATGAACTAACAGTATTATGATATATGTCTTTCAATTTACTGAAATAGATGATTTGGAAGTTGGAGCGTATTTTTGTTTGTTTGTTTTTTTTTCTTGCCATAGTTAGTAAAAGCTTACAATCGAATAAGAAAATGAAAACACAATTAGTCCTTCTAATTCGTTATTTTCTGGACATCTCACGTATACATAAAGAGCGGTAGCGCAAACATCTCATACTTGTATTTGCAATCCAGAACATTCTTTGGGCGCGCAAATGAATTAAATAACAATGAAAATTAATTAAGAAAGTTTCACTTTGAATTACTATCTCTGATAAATAAAAAAACTTCAATTTGAAAATACTGTGTCTATTAAATAAAGTACGATTGAACTCATAAAACACAGTTAACAGTCCATTAAATTCGGATAAATAGTTCACATTGATCACATGCGACGGTCTCCTTTGGTCCACATCTTTATCTTTTGTTTTGCCTCGGTCTTCGCTTGTCTTGCGGGTAATATTTCATTACATGGACTTCTGTCTTTATTAGATGTCAGTTCTAGAGGATGTAATAGTTGCGGTTCCTTTTTCAGTCTTTTATTTACATTTCATTTTCTCCACTTTGCAATATCTTTGTTCACTAGTAAAGATGGGTGATATTCTTTCTTGTGTAAAGTAGCGAAATATTTGTTGTCATGGTAACTTATACATGTCTTCTGATATAAATCTTGAAATTCTTTGTTTCTCGTTGTCTTCTCGTCAATTTTTCCAATGCCATGTGATTCTATCTTCCAAAACTTCTCCAGGTCAGATTCTCTGTCTTTTTTTATATTATTACATTCATTATAGAATTTTGCTGGTTTATGCAGCTTGGTGTACAGGGAAGTGTTCACGGCAGTAGGTCCCTCACCTTCGATGAAATGGTTTTCTATAATTGACCAATAGTAGTCGGCTCCTACGAGTACTGGGACTTGAAAGTTGTCGTTTGTAGTAACTGAATGAGCGATCTTTATCCCTGATAAATACGGTAATTTTGCTGCTTTATAGGCGTACGTTTTAAGCGGTGAGGCGATTTCAGGTACAATCAATACTCTGATCGCTATTTTTCTTTCCTTTATAAGCAAAGAAATAAAGCAGTTTTCAAGTGTCTAATTCTTGTACTTTCTGCATTGTCCCAAAACCCAGACAAATTTAAACTGTTTGTGCCAGCTATTGATAACTGCAATTTAGCGGCAATGTCTTCTGTGATAAACGACCTCTGTGCTCCTTCGTTAAAAAGAATGTTGGCATCTAAACATTGTCGTCCCAAACTTACAGGTTTATTTGCGGTTTTGAGCAAAATATTTGTGGTTGCCTGTGAATGTAAAATTGTGTTCGATTCCTTCGCGTTGTGTTGTATGGTATTTACGTTCACACTATTATCAATTTGTGCATTGTCCTTACATAAACTCGCGTGGTGACGATTGTGACGTTGTCTGCATGCTTTGTGTGACTTACTATCAAATCAAGTTAAGATGTCCTAAACAGTTGAAACATAAGCGGTCTCTGTAAACTATTGACATCTGATCTTTATATTCAATTACTTTGGTACAATTTACCGATGCGTGTGACTCGTGGCAGTAAACGCACTGTTTAGAATTAAAGCTAGTGTTCTTGGTGAACCTAATTTTGGTGTCTGTGACTTGATTGTCGCTTTCCTGGTCTCGTATATGTCAAAAATGCTTCAGTAGCTGTGGGATTTTCAAGACTGTTTATTAAGTTACCGGCTTCCATGATATTTAATTCATTAAATATGCCTTTTCTTAAGTGGACCAAGCGTATGTTAGTAGATCCAAATTCTCTTGCACGTTTTTTTTCGAAATTCCCCTAATAGTTTGTTCAATATAATCGGTAATAATAACGCTTCGTATGAATCATAAGTTTATCCTAGTGATTCCAACCCTCTTATGTAATTTTCAATGTTGTCATAAAAACGTAGGAGGCTGGAAAGTGTGTATCTAGGCGACGGAATATCAACTTGTGCCTGCATGCACATCTGTGTAATTTTATGTTCATGACCACATCTATCTTGTTACAGGGAAAATACCTTTTCATAGTTTGCATTAGTTAGCGCAAAACCCATCACTGATTTCAGAGCTGCATCGTGAAGTAACGATTTCAAATACTAGTAACTGGATTTTTTAACGTTGGGTTTGCATGCACGGCTGTCTCAAATGAGTCCCAGAATGACTGTCAATGAAGTATATCTCCATCGAAAGTAGGGAGATTCAACGTGGGTAGTTTGTTGTAGTCACTTGTTGAGCTAAAAGATGGGTGGAAATCTGACAAATGGTAGTTTTCTGCAATGTGTCGATGTAGTTTTTACCAAGGTGGGTTTGTTGACTTGACGAATGTTACACTCTAAGTTAAATGCATACTCATCTGCCTCAACGATCTCCGTTTCGATATCTCATCCAGTTCATGTACTATCTCCTCATTTAATTTGAGTAAAAGTTCCTGCTTCCGTTTCAGACTTTCCTATATGTTTGACAAATCATCCGTGTCCACGGTTCCATTTTCTTATCGGACAAAAATTAAGGCTAAATAAGAAAAAACGTCTGATTGCAATGATACTTGTATTGAAAATCTGAATTTGGTTACGTCACAACAGCGTTGACGTCGTATACATAAAGAGCGGTAGCGCGAACATCTCATACTAGTATGTGCAATCGGGAATAAATGTAAAGATCATTTAGCCTTAAAAATTATCAATGTGAGCTATTCCCGTAAATTGTTGTTTGTATCATGTTTTGTCGTCTGATTACTTTTCACTGTTTCATGACCCAAGTTTTAATTTTAAAAAAATCTCTGTTGAGTTTCATAATGATCTTCATTTTTTCCGTCAGGCCGACATCATTGCAATTTTAGACATCATATTGGTAAACTAATGTCAATAAAAAAAAACATTTTATTACATTTATTTGTTTGTCAATGATACATTGAAGTAAGCACTACTGGTCCCTATTCCTAACATCTCCCTCTCCCTCAGGAAATAGTACCCGAAAATCAGTTGTTGAGGTTTACTAGACCCACCATACTATACGAAACTTGTAACGAGTATCGGCAAAGAAATTAGAGTAGCAAAAATAAGAGAGATTGATATGTAATCTGTTCTTTTATAATATATGTGTTTCACTGTTTTTATTCGGAGAGACGTCCAGGATAATTCATATCATGAAATAAGAAAGCTATAGTATTCAAACTCAACAAAATCGTTAAAATAAGAAGATGTGGTATGATTGCCAACGAGACAAATCTCCACCAGAGACCAAATGACTATTTTAATAATAAACTGTACACTAATTCCAATTTACAAAATATGTCGTCCAACAAAGGACAACATTATTTCTATGTGAACGTTTTATAAACAATACGGTTATCTATTTGTATGCAATGATTTTGATTTTGTAAGCAATAGATACCAATTTGTTATGTTCACGTGACAGAACATACAATATTTTATGTGGCGGTATGGTAATTAACATTATCATCTTTTACGACGGATAAAATGGCTGATCTGAAAAGTACACCATCCACTTGCCATTATACATCATGTACTGTGTTACAACCCTAGATAAAGCCGAAGAGGAAAGGTATTACATCGACCACATATTTTTTATGTAGCCTAGGTGGTCGAGTGGGCTAGGGCGTTGGACACGGTGCAGGCGGTGTTGCCACTATGTCACAGAAGCAAGAGTTCGAAACCCGCTGAGGAAAGAACAGATATTTGCTAACGCAAATTTGAAGATCTAACATTGTTGAGCTAAATTTGAGACGAGTTATATATATATATATATATATATATATATATATATATATGAAAACGCTTACAGTTTTTACCATGTAAATATTTTCTTTATTTATTTTCCTAATGCAAACTTCCGATTCCTTGTCGGGAACTGATGTGACATTATTTTCGAAATGCGCACTTGGTGCAGTAAAATTGGTACCTTAAATGTTATTTTCAAAGGGATTTATTTAGTCAATAACACATAAGGAACATCGGGAAGACTTGAAATCAATATACTTTTTCTTATATTTCTGATACTCTTCTCGTGCTATACCGGTTTATTACGTAATGATTTCTGATTCATAAATAATATTGTTTACGGATTCTATAGAAATTCTACTATAAAGGATCTCGCAATTTCTAGCACAATATCTGGCATGCTGCTGTTTTTCACGTTGAGGGAAAATACTTCAATTACAATAAACAGTTTTGCTCAGGATGATGTCGGATATCATTATCACATATTACTTTTATTGCTGTCGATCTCTAATTAATCTAGAAAATAGAAACTGATTTCAATTCCTCTATTGATCAGTCTTCGTTTCGCAAAATGGCATCTGCTGTTAATGAATCATCACATAGTTTAATTGGTGATTATTCGTTTTTCAGATGATATTTAATTATGAGCAATAGTTAAAAACGAGAAAGAATTTTGGAGGATTGTGTTGTTTGGTTACAGTCTGATTTGCCTATATCCCAATTGTCTTATTCATATTAAACCAATAAATACAGTCATTTTGATATTGCAATAGACGAATAGGCTTTTCATAAAGTAAAAACAATGAAATAAACAACCGTATGCGGACAGTATGATAGTTCAATTGAAATTATTGTTCATTTAGATGTCCAAATCATAAATCGTAAATAGATTTTTTTTTAACAATTGATTGAAAGATTTTAAACATTACCAATAAATCTAAGGGTCAAAAGATGCCAAAGGGATGTTCAAATTCAAAAGTCGAATACAAACTGAAAATGCCATGAAAAAAACATACGAAAAAAGTAACGGAAATTAATTTGATCAGAATTGTTTCCATAAGAAACCCTTTTTCGGCGTGCGTAACTGGGAAGTTTTACTGGTTTTTATTTTTGCAAGACAACCAATGTTTTAAATTCTCTCTTGATCAGTGTTGTCTAATTACTGTAATACAAAAAATAAGATACACAGCGTTTTCAAATTGAATTGGCCTTTTAAGTTTATTTGTAAACTAAACATTTAAATATGACAGCATAACCAACTAATATTAATG